TGGGAGGAAATGATTTTTGTCTATTCTAAACAATGACGCTTAACACAATTGAAAGTTGGCACATTTTTGGTAAACAGCACTTTCCTGGGAGTGTAAAGTCTGCTGCATTTTTCTTCTGAGCCAGACTTCTCAGTATCATTTTGATCTGTAAAACATCAAGAGTTTCCTCTATCGTAATATATTTACATCTTCAGAGAGTCTGGATGGAAAGGAATTTTATTTTAATTTAATGAATAACCAACAATGAAAAAGAATTTTTGCGGCAATATTTGGGATTATGACTGGCAGAGGGCAATCCACATAGAAAATCACACATAGAAAGCATGATATATTTAACTTCGATATTTCCAGAAGATATATCCCAGACATTTAAAAAGAGAAGAGGCTAAAAATGGTAAGAAAACAAAATAATACTTTTCCAATTTCTACATTTAGTCAAAGAGAAAAATAAAAACCTCAATCACCCTTTAGTGTGATCATTACTATTATTTTTAAAATCTAGCTTTCAACAGATCCACTTCGCTTTCCCTATGAAGAACGTGAATTCTGAGAGTGGTACCGAGGGGTAGCTCCAACTGTGAGAAGGTTGAAAAATAAAGAACAAGAGGTGTTCTCTTCCTTTCCAGACACAGAATAGAAAGTCCTGAGCATCACCAGTGAACCAACTCAGCCTCATATTGAAATGCAGATTCATCTCATGCAGCCCTTCTGTTAGAATGCCAACCTTGGTCTTGGTGACAAAGGAGAAGAATTGAAGCGTTGGCATATTCTCCAAGTCTCATCCTTACTAGGCACCTTTAAAATATGTCACATGTTAGCTTCTAGGGAATGCTTTCTGACTAACCAACAATCTTAGCTGCTTCTATCCTGATGAAAGAAACCCTGGTTCAAGAAGAAGTTAAAGCACTAAAGACATTTCTTACCCTTTCTATGCAAGTGAACAAATACATCATAGGATTTGAGGATTGAAATGCTCAGTGCTTTTTCCAATGTTCATACTATATGGTTTTATTTTTAATCAAAGAGGATATAGAATTAGTAAGGGTATGAATGTGCTTTGAGCAAACAAAGTATTGAGAAAATTATATTCCAAAACAAAGTGGGCAGGGGTAATGCATTCTACTCAGATCTAGGAAATGTTGCTAGAAGTTCCATATTGTTTGCTTTCATCCCTCTGTAGGTATCATTCAACTGATTTTTGGTTTCTATTGTTGCTATTGAGAAGCCATTTGTCAGTTACTCTGGTTGTTAATATCATCTCCATTCAGGTGTCTAGTTGCAGATTTATTTTGAGGTATCCAGCCTAGGGTTTATTGTGCTTTTCAAATGTGAGAGCTCACATCTTTCATTTGTTTTAGAAAATCCATGACCATTATTTCTTCAAATATTACTTCTTGTTTTATATTCTCCCATTTCTTCTCTATAAGACATATGTTGGCCATTTAAATATTACCCTTTCTGTAAAATAAACTCTCTTTCATATTTTTGGTCATTTCAAGTTTCTAGATAATTTCCTTAGCTCTCTCTTTTTTAATCCAGTAATTGTTCAGCTGTGTCTAGCCTACTGTTTAATGAGATTTTTCTTTTTTCATAATAGTGTCTATATAGTAATTATGTCTAGGACTCTTTGGTTTAAAATTCTCCCTAGTCTTTTTAAATTGTAACTTTCTCTTTTCATTTGAGTTTATTATTTTATAATTTGTGCGCTTAATTACAACAATATAGCTTATACTGTATAGCTTCTATTATTCAATTTTTTGGTGGGTCTATTTCTATTAGTTGTTGCTTCTTCTGATTTTCCTTATATTGTTTTACTTGTGTAAACAAGTAAACTTGTGTGTCTCACAATGTTGACTTATGGCTTTTTCTGTGGAAATCCTGTGAACTAGATGCTGAGAGTGTATGCATCCAAAAAGGTTTTGCCTTTGTTTCTGTTAAGTGCCACAGAGCCTTACCAACCCAGTATTACTTTTTATATAAATTACTCCACTTGGCATTTCCTGGCTTTGAATTCTGAATACTCAAGAGAACCTTTTAATTTATCCCAAGAGAAGCCTGGACTAAGATAGATTAATTTCCTGCTATAGTCCTATTTTGGTAGGCGGGTTTATTTTCCTGGTTCACCTTTTCACTAAAGGCCCAGCCCTTGCAGGTGCTCCCTTTATGGAAAGTCTTAGTTCTAACTCCTGGCTTCTGTGAGCCACAGGCGTGGTCTCCATTTCTTGTGTTGTCATTAAAACACAAGTAACCTGTAATTCTCTGGTTTTATGCCTTTTATTCTGTTTTTAATTGCTGGGATTTCCTTCACATTATTTTTTTCAAGCTCTGCTGTACCTGTTATTTCATATTTTACCCAGTATAACTGGTTTTGTAATGGAAGGTTTTTCAGGTTATCTTGTCTGCCATATTATCTAAGTTCCATGGATGTATATACACTTTTAACTTTGAAGAATATTTTCCTATCATGAAGGCAAAATGTCATGAATATTAAACAACCGTGCAGGAATTGTTAGTGGCTTAATATGTTTGATAGATTGAGAGTGGGTGAAACTGCTGAGAATGTTATGGGTCATTTTTATTATGCCACCTCAGGCTTTCATATAAAATTCATAGAAATGCATTTATTTAGTAAACCATATAGTTAATTAAGTATATACCTTCATCTCCTGGCCAAATATATATATATTTTTCCAAAATAAATTTCAGAAAAAAAATCCTTCATCTATTGTAGCAAAAATGGAAAAAAAACAATAAACTTTAAAAAACTTAGATAGGACTCGCCGACTCCAAACTGAAGGGACGGACACTCGTGGCAGAAAGGCCCATGTAACTGAAAGAAAGTTTGACATGAAGCGAGTAGTTTGATTATCACCATCCTTGAGTACAGGAGGAGAAAAGTGGATGTCTGCAGCATGTGCTACCCGTGGCACTTGAAAAAACTGCTCTCAAAAAGACAGCTCCAGCTCCAGGTATTCAATGACATCTTAACGGGGTTGCTGTAAAGGACTAATGCCTAAACTGTCTCAGCATGGCCTATCGAGGAGGAGGTGGGCGCCGCCATGGTCCCTCAGCGGCGTTCTACCCTGTTAGCCCTGAACGTCTTTTCACATGTAGAACTCCTACTCATAACATATGCATGGTGTCGGACTTTTTCTACCCAAATATGGGAGGCGTGGAAAGCCACATTTACCAGCTCTCTCAGTGCCTGATTGAAAGAAGACACAAAGTCATAATTGTCACCCATGCTTACGGAAATCGAAAAGGCATCCGTTACCTCACTAAAGGCCTAAAAAACTTATAAATTGGTGTTGTGAGCCTGGATTTTCTTGATTAGCAGTTGGATTATATTATACTCAGGGTTGCAAGTTATCAAAGGGGTATAAGGGGAAATTCAGTATTCTTAAATTCTTATTATCCTGGGAAAGCCCTGTTGTAGTAATTTTGACAAGAAAACAAAAACAAAAGCTGACTAAAATCAGACTGTAAACCATGCCAACAGGATGACAAAATGCCCTAAAATGTAAGTAGTGCCTAGGCCAGCACCTTTTGGGAATTACACAATTTTACTTTATTATTATTATTGGAGGCCCGATGCATGAAATTCGTGCAAGAGCAGGCCTTTGCAGCTGCAGCTACCTTGATACTCCCTCGCAACCACAGGCAGCTGCCTGGATCCCTCCCTCACAGCTGCAGTGGCTGCAGCCCTGGCTTCGTCCTGGAAGGATGTCCGGTCTAATTAGCATATTACACTTTTATTATTATAGATTGTTGATAGTATTACAGATGTCTCCCATTTCTCCCCCTTTACCCTTCTCTGCCCAACCCGTACCCCCACCCTCAGGTCTTCACCACCCTGTTGTCTATGTGGGGGACAAGGAGAGAGAAACACAATTTTATTTTTATGATACAAAGTACAGAATGAGTATTCTTGTCCATAAGTTAGATCCTTAGAAAAGATGACTAGTATGGAAACAGAATCTAATTTTGGACTTCTTTTTATAAACATCTTGAGTAAGTTGCTTGGATTTTATAACTTCCTTCAAATCTAACTTTCTTAGTGAGGCTCATCCACTATATAACACTGCAGCTTATCCTTACTTCTCAGCCCCTCCCTACAGCCCAGCACACCCACGCTACCTTTTTCTATAGGATTTATCCCTTCTAATATATTTTCTTTTATTTTTTATCGATTTCAGAGAGGAAGGGAAAGGGAGAGATAGAAATATCAACGATGAGAGAGAATCGATTGGCTGCCTCCTGCACACCCCACACTGGGGATTGAGCCTGCAACCCAGGCATGTGCCGTTGACCAGAATTGAACCTGGGACCCTTCAGTCTGCAGGATGAAGCTCTATCCACTGAGCCACACCGGCCAGGCCCTTCTAATATTTTAATAAACGTATTATGTTTATTGTTTTTGTCGGTCTTCTCTGCCAACTCCAAGAGAGTTAAAATCTACCAAGAGCATAAATCTTTGTGTGCCGTTCAGAATTGAACCTGGGACCCTTCAGTCTGCAGGATGAAGCTCTATCCACTGAGCCACACCGGCCAGGCCCTTCTAATATTTTAATAAACGTATTATGTTTATTGTTTTTGTCGGTCTTCTCTGCCAACTCCAAGAGAGTTAAAATCTACCAAGAGCATAAATCTTTGTGTGTTTTGCTTACTAATATATTTCCAACAACTAAAATAGTATTTGCCACATAGTAGGTGCAAAAATTACTTGCTATACAAATGAATAATTTTTTATTTCATTGCCTATAAATCAGGGTGATAATTCCTGGTCTATCTTTTCCTTACTGAGACATGTGGATACATAGGAGAATTGTGTATCCAATATATATTGATTTATCTGGGAAGCATAAAGTGACCTATTATTTAAATGTCTTAAAGTGGCCATCTTAAATCCATTATTAAGTACATGACAATTTTTCTTATACAATATGTCTTCTATAGCAACAGAAAATATATAACATTTAGTACTTGGGTAAAGGTCATACCTCATTTTTTTCTTTGAGTTTTGTGATCATAACAATCACAGGGCTATCTTCCTGCCAAACCATCTGCCAGAAATCATTCACGGTGTTGATCATGGGGCCCTGCGTGGCGATGAACGCTTTCTCTCTGCCGCCGTAGCCCTAGTGTGAGTAAAGGTACAAAAGATTGGCTCTGAAGTGCATGCCGTGCGCTGAAAATTTAGGTAAAATATCTCAGAACAAAATGGCTCTGCTCGTCCAAAAGCAACACAAATTTCTGTGGCTTAATTGATCCCAGCAGCACAACCCACATGGCTGTTCTCCCAGCAAGTCAAGCATGGTGCACGGTGTTGCCCGTCAAAATGCTTCGTCCTCACCAGAGCACCCCAGCCAGGAAAGGAGGACTCACTGTAAAATACCGGCTACCAATGTTGGTTATGACTAAGCAAACAACAACAAAGAACTTGCTCTAACCAAGTTAAGTTAAAAGTAACCTATTCTAAGGAAAAAAATATAACCTCAAAGTCCAAATAGTAAGTTGACATGCTCATCAGAAAGAAATGATATTTATTTACTTACCCTGATATAATTAGCATTAATGTAGGTGCTCAATGAATCAGTTACATTTTTTGGTCTTAAACACACTCTGCTGAGGGGATCTAATGAAGAAAACAAGAAAGAGTATATTAAACCGATATATTTAATGTGTCTACATTAAACACATTGCTCTTTTTAAAGTTTCTTAGAACACCAACAACCAGTACATAGAACACCGGTTAACTTATATATTGACTGGCTGACGTGTGCCAGTGTTTGTTGTCGTGTCTGTGTGTCTGTGTCTTGATGCATCTGTGTTTCTTGAGGGACATTTGGGCCCATCTTGATGACTGTTCCTGACATAAATCTCACCCACAAGCCTGAGATGGTGAGTTTATACTTTATGCCATTTATTTGTGGGTTCATGATTCTTGACCTCATTTCTCATGTGTGCTCCTTTTCTTGTTCTTTGGGTTTGGAATTTGCACCCACTCTTCCTACTCTTGTCTCTCTTCTGTCCTGCCCAATGACAAACGTTTGGCCTTACTCAAATCCCTCTCACTACCTGGAAGAAGCTGTCTTCAGTTACCATGTCTTTGTTCACCGACAGCACAAATATCTGTTACTGAATAGATTATTATAGTGTCTTAAATTCTAACACCACTTTCCATCAAGAAGTTGAAAGATTCTAAGTATTTCCCAAACTGCTATCTGTAAATCATTTCTTCTGTAACATGTAGAATTAGGTCATATAATTTGTAAATGAGCTAATTCTTTATGGATCATGGCGCTATGGAAAATATGGTAGTTATTTTTACCAACATTTACATAAATGAATTAAGATCAAATCATGCCTTTATGATTTCTTTAACCTGGTACATGCTGCGCTTCTTGAAGGCAAGATGGAGAATTTTTACTATCTCTCTAAGACTCAGTGTCTAGCACAGTGCTTAAATATACACTGAGTGGCCAGATTATTATGACCACCTGACGTTTGTAGGCAAATTAGCTATAATTTCACGCTGAAGTTGCTAGAGGGCCAGACCATTATAAATAGGGAAGCAGGTTGTTTACCACGACAGTAGAAGTGATTTTTTTCTGAAGATATGGATAAACAACGTGATTTAACAGCCTTTGAATGTGGGATATACTATAGCTGACACTCAATAAATGTCTATGTATTGATTTAAATTGTCCCTTTCATTTCCTAAAGCTAGTTTTATGTTTTCCTCTCTAGCAGTTGTTCTATTGTTCTTCAGACAGGCAAATTCTGAGAGCTTTTTATACCCACTGTTCCTACCACCTCATCTACCATTCAAGTCTCGTGTACACTCCAATCTATCTGATAATGGTAATGTTAGGTATGCAGACACTACTCTTGCTCATGCCACCTGGACCATTTTGTTACTAAACCATATGAGCTCAATGTGAGTTTTTTTTTTTTTCATGACCTCTCTGTGGCATTCAAAGAATAATGAGCTCAATGTGAGTTTTTTTTTTCATGACCTCTCTGTGGCATTCAAAGAATATTGACCATATATCTTTTTGAAAGTTCTCTCTTCCTTTGGATTCTGGGTCACAACATTCTGATTTTCCTGATAACTCTTTGAAGGTCTGTTTTCAATCTCCTGCTTATTTTATCTGCTCCCCTCCCCTAAATCTAGGATTCAACTTGGCCCTCTTCTACGCTCATTTGACACTGTTTTGTTAGGTAATTGATTCATTTCCATAACTTTAACTATTAGCTATATCTTGAAGACTCCAACATGTTTATCTTAGATTAGACTACTCTCCTCAGTTATAGGCCATGTTTTTCTATTTGTTTCTTCTGGATATACCACAGGCTTGTGAAATTCCACATGTCCCATGTGTTCCTGTTAGCCTTCTGTTATTCTTTGTTAGATGTGCTCCCACAGCTCCAGAGCACATGTTGGAAAACTAGTTGACCTACTGGGCTTGACCCTCCACATCCAATTACTCATATTCTCTCTGTTCTATCTCCTAACGTGCTGCAGGGTCTATTTTTCTTCTCTCTTCCCATGACTGTCTTCTTAGACTAGAACTTGAGCATGCCATCTTTTTGTATTGCTTTCAATCTTATTGCTGCCAAGGCGGTCTGATCACATCATCCTGCCTAAATGCCATCCCTGGATCCTAACTGCCACAGCAGTATTTCCCAAACTGTAAGTCATTTTTTTTTTCTGTAACATGTAGAATTAGGTCACATAATTTATAAATGAGATAATCTTTGAAAAAGAAGTTTCAGTAATCAAATCAATATAGGAAACACTGGACTTAAAGTAGAACCACATCCCTTTTACTGCAGGTCTCTTCACCATCTTTATTATGCTACTGTACCTTGTGAATTTCCGGAACTATTACATATAAATTTATTTATCCATTGATCTCATTTTATTATGAATCCTTATAGACAATCCAGACAGCCTAGAGCAGCATTACCCAATAGAAGTCTCTGTGATAATGGTAAAGTCTTCCTCATTCTCTAAGGTTCAATACAAGAAATACATTCTTTCTGAAGCCTTCCCTGGAATTCCCAGACAGAATCAGGCATTCCTGTCTTTGTGCAGGCTCTCTCCTATTTTAGTATTTACCATCTTATATTTCAGATACTTACATTTCTGCCTTCCCTCAAAGGATTTCGGTGAGCCCCTTGAGTGCAAGAGCTATATTTAATTAACTTTTGTATCCTTTGTGATTTCTATTTGGAACGTGGTTCATAGAATGTTTAATATCAGAATTTATCGCTATTAGAAACAGTAAAACACTGCTTTGGCTTTCTTTCTTTTTTTTTTATTAAATCTTTATTGTTCAGATTATTACAGTTGTTCCTCCTTTTCCCCCATAGCTCCCCTCCACCCAGTTCCCACCCCACCCGGTGTCCTCCCCCACTGTCCTCATCCATAGGTGTACGATATTTGTCCAGTCTCTTCCTGCACCCCCAATACCCCTTTCCCCCTGAGAATTGTCAGTCCACTCCCTTTCTATGCCCCTGATT